AACAAAAAAAANAAAAAAAAAAAAAAGGGCGAAAGAGACGAGTCAAACACTCTGTCGCTGCTGGCACAACTCTTTTATCCTTGCGGAAACAAGAAGGCCAGCGAGAAGAGAAATGAGTAAATGACAGGGTGAAAAAAGAAAAGAAAAAGTGGACTCCGTATTCCAAGCCCGTAGAGAGCGCCGCCTGATATGGCCCCGACCCTTTTCCCCCAGCCCGTGGTATACAGTACCCAAAACCCAAGAAATCGTTTGCCACTTGCTTCTCTTCAGAGACTGCAGAGCACAAGCCGTGATCAGATAACAGTTGATGAAAAGAGCGAACGTAAAAAAATGAAGAAACAGGGTATGTGCACCCCTATCACAGATGAACCCCTGCCCAACAGGGGGGCCGACCGACCGCGCTGACTGGACTGGTGCAATGCCGGAAAATGCATGGTATCTCTCGAATAGCAATGATATCCTCAAGAAACAACAACAAAAAAGACGAAAAAGAAAAACGGTGCAAGGCTGGCGTGTGAGTCGGTGATGATGCGCTGACGAGGTAAGGAGAGTGTTACCAAGAGGGTATAGTATGATTCATCATGTCTCGTTAAAAACGCGTAGAGGCGTGCGTACGTGTGTGGCCCATGGTCTCGGGGTTATACGACCTCGATGGTGGCGGAATTAAAATTATTAGGTTTCAGCGTCATGTCGTTCTGTGTTCCGTTGGCGTCTTGGTGGCGCCCAGGCCGAATGTCATCGACCAGTCTAGGCGTCTGAGGCTCGCGGACCGACTCTTCGTCGGCCGAAGAGCACTCCATAGGGAGCGGGGTGGTGGGTGCAGCCAGCATCTCGTGTCCTGCCGTGTAGACAGACGAGGTGGTACGATGATGAGGTTGAGCGACAGCCGGCGTCGACTCCATGACGCCGTCGTTATGGGGCGCCTCGGCTGCGGGGCTGGGGCTCCGGTCCTCGTCCTTCACGCTCGAATCGAACGATGGCCGAGTGGGGCTCTGCAGGGCCGAGACGTCACCGCTGTAGTCGCTCCTGCTAGCTCGTGATCGGCGAGCCGGGTTCCTCTCCGGTAGTGCGGGAGCAAGGCGCTTGGGGATGGTGACCAGAGCCCCCTTGGCTTGGATCACCTGCGTAACCTGGGTGGCCATGATGGCTGTGCGCGCGGGCTGGGCCGCTGTGGCGACTTCAAAGATTATGGGCTCATCCTCGTCGTCGTCCTCGTCGTCTTCGTCGTCGGCATCACCGTCGCGGTCTTCCTCGTCGTCTGAGATGGGAGCAGAAGCCGGCTCATCATGTGCAGAAGGGCCGTCACAGGTGGGCTCCTGTCGAGCCCCTTGAGCCCCGGGGGCAGGAGTTTGGCTTCGGGAGATGACGGTCACGACGGCAGGTGCTGGCGGGGTGGGCATCACGGGGGATGCATCCAAGGACTGGCGATTGAGGCCTGCGAGGGCGCTCAGGTCGATCTTGGTGTAGTCAATCTCCTCGGGTTCCGGAATAACGGCGGCGATCTCAGGTGAGGAGGCAGCCTTGTCATCGCCCTCCTTGGGAAGGCAAGGAGAGGGGCTGGTAGACTCGCCCACATCGGTCTGCGTAAAGGCATCCGTCACGGTGGTAGCCTGGGTCCGGTTTGACATGTAGCTCCCCCTGTTACTGTGGCTGAGGCAAGTCTCGACGCTCTGGCGGTTGAAGTTGCTAAACATGGGGCTGGTAGGGCTTGGTGAATAGTCGATTTGGCTGCTGACCGGGCGGTTTTTGTTCCCTGCCTCGCGGATTTCCAACCCAGCCATCTCTAGCGCGATGACTCCAAAGGGGTCGGGATCGTCAGCGCTAGGAAGGCCGAAAGTCGACTTGGTGGGTGATACGGGCGTCCCTGCCGGGGTCTCGATCGTCGCGTCACCAGGCGCAGGTTGTTGTGCAAGCGACTGCATGATGTCGATGTCAAAGTCGCTACGGCCCTCGGCAGCCTTGATGGCCTCGAACAGAGGTGCTATCTCTGGGACAGACTTGCGGACGTTCCCAGCCAGGACGTCGAGGATGTCAACGGCGGAGCCGTAGAACTTTTCGTTCTCATTTCCGCGCTCCGTCACCAGCGAGCCATCCAGGTTTACGGCCCGGTGCTGGCCCCTAGCCTTGAGATAGGTCAGAACCGTGTTGTCGAGATCCCTCCACCTGGAACTGTCGTTTTCGAGCAGGCCCATGGGGGCGACAGGCCCCACGGTAAGAGGCACACCGGTGCCCAAGGTCACGCGGGCGCGTGTGAACATTTCCAGGGCCGGGACGCTGTTGATGACCAAGACGCAATCGTAGATATCGACGCCCACGACGAACCCCAGGGCTGATGTGTGCAGAAGAATACCCGACGGAGTAGACCACGTGCCATCGGCTTTGCGTGCGATGAGGATTCCAGAGCCTCCTGAGCCCGACATCCACAGCCCCGACCGCATACATGAGAAGATAGCCAGCCCGACAGCGTTCTGGACTATCCTAGACGGTATCTTCTTCATGATCTGGGTCCCAGTCGAGGATCTTGCGCGTGTGGTAGTGGGAGGCGGAGTTGGTGGCGTTGTCGTCGTGGGTGTTGCAGGCATAGCGTCGTCTTGTGGCTCATACGAGATAAAGCCGTCGGCTGCACACGGCGATGTTTAGGCTCTGGTTAGTTTGTGGTCTTGACATGCACACTAGCTTCTTCCCAGAAATTGGGCTAGGAAAACCGCAGACTAGACCTACTGCAAAATGACTTCAATATGCGGGCGGCCTTCTCGCACTCTTTTTCTATGCTGCTCGGCCAGTAGGTCTCGCGACCAAACTTGGACTGTTTGGGTGGTTGTTGTGTCGAATTCCCGGTCTCGGAGACGGTTCCTAGCGAGGGGGCGACGGTTGAACGGCGGCTGGCACCGGTCTTGTCGGCCCAGCCAAACACCCTGCTCAGAGCGCCGCCATTGCCCTTGCCGTCGACGGACCTTGTGCGGTCCCAGGACGGCATCAGCAGTGACATACGCTGCATGGCGGCGTCGGAATCGCGTCGGCTGTTGTGATAGAGAGTGTCTCCTGCCTTCGAGGACAGAGGCCGGCTTGGCTGGCGTGTGTTTGATGAGGCGAGATGTGGACGAGGGGAAGATAGCTATCTCCCCTCTTTAGTATACTTATTTCGTCCGGTTTCGTTGGCGGCGTAGAGTAGGCTAGGGAGTGGTGGTGAGGAAGGCGTTTGTTCAGGCGTGTATCCTTGCCCAGGCAGAAATAAAAAGAACTAAACCAGGGTCGAGCAAGTGTGATGGAAGAGGACAATGGGCTCGCAACAAATGTGAAAACTGGCATTCACAAGGCGGCAGGCTGCCCAGCTTCCCAGCACGTCGGAAAGCAGCAACCTCGATCGGTACCTGGTGTGTAGTAGGTTCCTGGAACCCACGGTTAGGATCCGGGATTGGGCGTGCGGCGGCGGCGGCGGCGGCGGGAACAAAAAGAAACAAAAACGAATCGGCCGCCCGCAGACTCGGGTGGGTTGAAGGTGGGAGGAGCAGAGTTATTAGAGGCCTCGCCCGGTCGGGCTCGGTTTGGCGTTTTGGACGGGCTGGCTGAGCAGGAAGGAGGCTCTCGCCAGGGTTGCCGCGCCAGGGCCTGGGCCTGGGGGTGAAAAATAAAATCAGACAAAAAGGCCTGCGAGGCTTGGTGACGTGGGCGATGACCAGAAAATGCGCTGTGGGAACCAGCCCGACCCATGCAGGTTTGGGGGAAGGCACGCACGGCGAGCGACAACCAGGCGGAGCAGGCAGGGGAAAGCGAGGAGGGTGGAGCAGGGGGGGCCAGAGCTGCTGGGGCAGGGGAGGCCGGGTTGAAGGTGGCCAGGGTCAGGCCTGCCGGGGGGGCTGGCTGGGGCCTTTGAACATGGGCGACCCGCTCAGTTGTGGTATCTTTTCGCGGCCTCTTTTTTATCGTGGTCGAGTTGGTTCTGTTTCGATTTTTGAAGTCTTCTGCCTGCTTTTGTGCCGCACGGTGTTCCAGACAGTTAATGAAGATGATTATTGGGATGATAAGACGAGGGGGGAGGCCAGGACGGACGCGGTACCACCAAACGGTGACAAATGCCACCGCACGACGTAACAAGGCCGGGCGGCACTCTCTGCTCGATTCGCCCGGTGACTAGGGCCACGGGAGCGGGAGGTGGCAGGTAAACTATCGCTAGTCGCTAGTCTTTTCTGTTC